TCTGAAAACACTAGAAGAATATATGTACTCTCTTTCTCTCTAAGATCAAAAACAGCAATTCTGTAATACTGCTGCAAGGCACAATGTGCTAAGACTCACTGTCATTTACTGAGCAGTTATTACCTGCCAGTCACAGTACTTCGTGCTTTAAATGTATCATCTTATTTAATGCTTATAATGTCTCAGTGAGGCAGGTGATGTTAGTAATGCCAAATAACATAAGAGGAAACTAGAAAATGATTTACTTGTACTGTTCAGTTTTCAAATATTCCTTGCTACTAATAATTAAATTCTTGGTGTGTTTTTTTTTGTTTTTTGTTTTTTTGAGTTTTCCTATGAGCAAGCAGCAAAAATAGAATGTGGTGGGTAGAATTCCAAGCAGCCTTCAAGATTCTTGCCAACTGGTATACACTTTCTATTTAATAACCTTTTTTGAGTATGCCTGGGACCTGTTAATAAGATGAAATATCACCCCTTTGACTGCATTACATAACATTATATAACATTTTGTTATAGCAGACTGGAGGGAGTTTATCTTGTTGGTTTCAAAGAAGTAACCTGTCGTGGTCTAAGAAGACCAAGTAGCTAGGACTTTCTAGGATCTAGGGTGACCACTATAAGCTGAGAGTGATATGTCCTGCCAACAAACAGCAAGAAAACTGGGACCTCAGTCCTAAAACTACAAGGAATTGAATCATGCACACAACCCCCTTAAGGTTGGAAGATGATCCCCAGACTCAGATGAGATTGCAGCCCCTGGTGATACGTTGATTAAAACCTGGTGAGACCCTGAACAGGGAACCCAGCTGACCTGACCCTGACCCACAGAGAGGGTGAGACAATAAATTTGCATGTTTTATGCCAGTAAGTTTGTGTTTATAAACCCATTGAAATCTAGACAGTGTGTTTCTTCTAATTTATTCTGCATGTGTCTCTCTCTCTGTGTGTGTATATGTGACACACACACACACACAAAGAGAGAGAAAGAGAGAGAGAGAGAGAGAGAAACTAGGAAATCACTTCATTAGCTTTATGAAGGAAGCGTTGTAAAAAGCAAAAGTCCAGGAAAACTCCAAATTATCTACCTGGTGTTCACATAGAGAATGGATTCTCAGTTATCAATTAATTGGTAAATGCTGGATGCTCTTTATATCCCCAAAGGGTGAGAGACCAAGGGTGAGGAGAAATGTCTAACACCAGCCTCGTGACTGAGTTCATCCTCATGAGCCTTCCCCATGCCCCAGCGCTGGACGCCCCACTCTTTGGAATCTTCTGAATCTAAGAGCAAGGTCTTTGTGGACGAAATGATTTTATGCCTGGATACTGTTACGATGTCCTCACTACTGCCTGCCCTTAAAGGCTCCTCCTGTGTTGGCAAAGAATCTGAAATGCTAACTCCATAATGGGATTCCACGACTCTAAATGATCCAGAGAGCACCAAGCCTCATGCACGACTGCCGCCTGCCTACTTCTTGCCACAGAACACTTCCTATGTGGTTCTGAGAACATGGCATCATATATGCTCTCCCGAACACAATCTACTGGGTAGGGGCCAGCTGTCTTTCTACTTCTTCTACCCTAGGTTTCTAAATATACTGAATATTGGCTTTGTTAGATATGTGTTGCCTCCACTCATCTTCCTTACTCCTCATTCTCGTAAACCCAGGTGATGAATGATCTCACAAAGAAGACAGTCTCCATCAAGTCTGTGCCTCTTAATTAAGACCTAGAATCTGAGACAGAAAAAATGGGAGCAATGCAAGAAGAGGGGCCGTCACCTTGATGTCAAGAGAAGGACTGTGTAATGGAAATTGGGGCCAAAATAAGGTTCTTGCTTAATACTAATATTAATACAAAATGTTGTCTTAGTTCAGGATTCTTACTAATTGTTCAAGGGGCAGACACTATGAAACTTATTCACCAGTGTGAGAGAGAAGCCGTGATCTCTGCTCTTCAGAAATCCCAGAGAAGATACCTCCAGGTAATGTGGCTTAAGCTACTTTAAACAAAGGCTTTTGAAATATGTGGGGCAGAAAGGAGATTACTGCAATCATCAATATGGATAAAAATAGAACCAAGATACTCTGAAATTTCTACTGCACCAGAGGAACAATTCCAGAATAGCTTCATGATTTGATGAAATGTGAAAATCCTCATCCAATGAAGTCCAAGGCCTGAGACCTAAACAAGAGTCTCAATCTGTAGGGTCAATGTTTGAGCTGCATATTGAAGTTATTATAGTATACATAGCAACTTTGTCTCTATATGTACCCCATCAATTAATATCTTTCTATGTACCTAACTGATTTTATAACAAAGTCTTAACAATTCTCGAGTATCTTAGGTCTGAATGGTTTGAGATAAAGTAAAGAAGAAAGAAAATAAGTTAAATCTACATTTCTAAGAACTCATCTTTACAGTATGTGATTCATTTCAATAGTAAAACTCATCTTGAGTTTTTGCCCTAATTTATCACTTTCCACGTAAGCAAAAGACAGGTGCTATAAGTTTGCAAGATGTCACTCAAAGAACAGATACAGTGTTAAGAAGGAGTGGTCTTTTCTATTTAGGGACCAAACTGAAGTGCAGGAATGGAAATGAATATGGGTAGAAACTTAAAAGGATTTACATGCCTCAGAGGATGGACTCCTCTTCAGCTTTTAGGTTCCCTTTGATGTGTAAAGCAAACCAAACAGGAAGAGACCAATGAAAGGTTCTCATAAGCATGCATGCATTTCCTTAGAGTTTTTATTTAGCCTCCTGAGACGAGCCTATGTCTTCCTGGAACTGCTTGTACCTTAGAGAAATAACTGACTTACCCTTTTCTCTCATCAGTGACAGAGAGACACTCACAACTGCTTGGCTTCAATTCACAGAATTTTCCACAATCTATAATGGTGCTCACTTGTTGGGCGCTCTAACTCAGCATCACTCACCCATTCACTGTCTATGGTTTTAATCATCCAAATTCCCCAGCTTTTTCTGTTGCTTACAGTTTCGTGGGTGGCTTTTTTCAGAGATCTGTACTCTATCTAACATAACATTTAAATCTTTACTTCATCTAAAATTAATTTTACTTTATATGTGACACAAGGATGTTTTTTATTTTCACATAATTTGGGATTATAGCTAATACGTCATTAACTGAATTTTTTTTTAAGGAATTTGGTTTAAGTTCTACCATTTTTGTATTCTCTTTACACTCTATATATATTAACCTGTAGTTTTATTACATTATCACAAAGAAAATGAGTGGCAAATTTCTATTTCAAAATGTAATAACTTTAGTCTCATGTATTATTTTTATGATTAGCTTCCTGTTTGTTTCTTTTTTCTTTAAGAATATGTTTTTACCATTTTTTTCCAAGAGGGTTTTGAATTCTATAAAATCTCTTACACAAACAAGTGTCAGACAGTCCACACCACATTCACATATCTCCTATCTACTATAATTGAGTTTTTTATGTGTCTAGTATGACAACAGGGTCAAGACTAATTTTTCATTCTGAATACTCAGATACCTGAACATAATTTATTGAAGAAGGCAATCTTGCTTTATTGCTCGGCAGTGCACATTCTTTGTCATACAAATATGGTATCAGTCTATTTCTGTATGCTGTATTCAGTTACAATTTTCTATTTGTCTAACCCCGGCACAAACACAAACCCTGAGTTACCGTAGCTTTGTCACAAGTTTTGATAACTAGTGTTGTCAATCTTTCAGTTAAGTTTCATGTCTTCAAGATAGTATTGACCATTTTGGGACTTATTCAATCCAATAGATCCACATGTTCATTGCTGTGCACCAAATGCTGAGATTTTACTTCTGGGAATAGTATTGAATGTATAGATTCATTTGAATTGGAATTTTAAAAACATATGAGTCTCCATGTGCCCATTGTAATCTTTAAATTCATTCAGGAAATGTTATATTTATGTGAAAATATTTTATTTCTATTGTCATGGTCTTACACATGTTACTTAAAAATTAAATTTAGCTCTGGGTTTCTCATCCTTAGCACTATCACTTGGCCATGATAAGCTTTGTTGTGTGAGGGTCTCTCCTGTGCATTGGGAATGTTTAACACTCCCTGACCTCTTAGTCACTAGATGCCAGCGCCTGTGACGCAAGAATATTTGCAGACACACAAATGAACTGGGGGACAAACAGCCCCAAGTGATCTAGATATTTAAGAGATTTAATGTTTATACCTGAATCTTAACAAACATAAAAAAATGGGTGTTTGTGATAAGTGCTACAGAACTATTGTATATGTAGCTGTAGATCGTATTATCAGCTGCTGGATGATAATCTATTCTGTGAACACACAATTTCTATTTGATTCACTATAAATATTAATAGCTTGCTATTTTTGCCCATTAAAAATAGTGTTTTCTAGAAATGTTTTCAGATACGTACATGTAAATAGACAGATACATATGCATACATAAACATGTGAAACCTGTATGGTATTTTCATTAGGCTAAATGTGCCAGTATACTTTCTTTTGCAAGTACATGTTTGGATTTGTAGCTAAATACATTAAAACCAAAAAGAAATTTGAATAGCTACAACCACAATTAGAAAAAATGACCTTAAATATTTGTTGCTATTTTTGAACAATATCTCCATAATGGTAAATTGCTGTTTTAGTACAAGAAATCAAAACAAAACACAAAAAGCTTTTATCAAGTTAAACATGAATGACTCGACCATCTATCTTGAGAGATTTGATTAAAATATTTTTTTTTAAATTAATATGAACCTATTGATGAGAAATGAACTCAGTAACTGTGAATATACATATTCCCTCATAAATACAAGTCTAGCTGTGATGTTAAAACTCTCTTAGAAAATTTGTGGAAGAATTATAACTGTGCAGGTGTAAGTGTTTTGGAATAATGTTTAACACTGAGAACTATACATTATAATCAGTTTCACAGGAATAACTAAATTATATTACTATTTTAAACAAACTAGTGTATCTACTTCCTAGTATCTATTCTACCTGAGAATATGCTACTTGTCTAGTTTCAACACAGCTTTCTTCACTCCCTTGTTTCTCAGGTGTACACTCACAGGTTGAGGCAGAAGCAAAGTTAGAACAGTGTAGAAAACGGCCACAACTCCATCCATGATGTCCCTGGAACCTTGGTCTCAGGTAAATGACAACACAGGGAACAACAAAAAAAGCAAAGGACCACGATACAGTGGGAGGCACAGTGTTCGAAAGGCTCTGCACTTCTCTGAGTGGATCTCGCAGGATGGAATACAGACAATGGACACACATAGGACAAGCACTATCAGGAGAAAGCAGCCGAGGCTACTCTCTTCACTCCCAATGTTCACAAAGATGACCATCTCGTTGACTGAGAAAGTTCTGCATGGTACCAGTTTCAGATGGGCGGTGCGCTACAGAAGTAGTGCGTGCTGGATCCGGGCAGGTCCACAGTAGGGTAATGGAGTGTCGGGCGGCTCCACAGCAGAGTGCAGAGAGCTACTGGAGCTGCCGGTGGCCAGGAGAGCACACGAGCGCCACTCATCATGCTGGTGTACCTGGGAGTGGGTAACTGATGGCCAGGTAGCGATCATAGGACATGACCGTGTAGATGAAACACTCGGAGGTTTCCCAGGAAGTGGAAAGTAGAGTTGAGAGTCACGCAGCTGTGGAAGGGAGATAGTCCTCCGCTTTGAGACAATTAAGTCATCAGCATTTTAAAGGCACCGTGACAGTGGAGAACCACATGTCAATGAAGGACAGGTTGAGAGGAAGGAGTACATGGGGGGTGTGGAGGTGAGAATCTGCCCTGATCACCAGCAGGATGAGGAGGTTCCCCAGCACAGTGAGCACATAAACCACTTCCAGGTCCAGCGCTGGGGCATGGGGAAGGCCCATGAGAATGAATGCTGTCACGAGGCTGGCGTTGGACATTTCTTCTCACCCTTGGTTTCTCTCCTTCTGGGGATATAAAGAGCACGCAGCATTTAGCACTTAATTGAGAAATGAGAATCCATTCTCTATGTGGAAACTGCATCAACCAGGTAGATAATTCTGGAGTTATCGTGGACTTTGCTTGTTACAAAGCTTCCTTTATAAACCAATAAAGTGATTTCCTAGTCTCTCTCTCTGTCTCACAGATGCACACACAGAGACACATGTGGAAGAAATTAGGAGAAACACATTGTCTTATATTTCAATAGGTATATAAATTACCACAAACTTAACTGGCATAAAATATGCAAATGTATTGTCTCGCCCAGGTCAGCTGGGCCCTCTGTTTAGCTCTCATCAGGTTTTAATCGACATATCACCAAGGGCTGCAACCTCATCTGGGGCTGGGGATCATTCTCCAAGCTTCTTGTGGTTGTTGGCACGATTCAGTTCCTTGCAGTTTAGGACTCAGATCCCAGTTTTCTTGCTGTTTGTTGGCAGGACATATAACTCTCAACTTACTGAGGTCACCCAAGGTCCAAGAAAGTCCTAGCTGCTTGGCCTTCTTAAAACACCACAGGTGTCTTCTTCAAAACAAATGAGATCAACTCTCTCCAGTTTGCCATGACAAACTACCACATAATGTTATGTAATGCAGTCACGGGGGTGATATTCCATTGTATTAACAGGTCCCAGGCATACTCAAAGGAAGGTTATTAAATAGAAAGTATATACTAGAGGGCAGGAATCTTGAAGGCTACTGCAAATTCTACCTACCACATTCAGTTTTGCTTCCTTGCTCATGAGAAAACTTAAAAAAAACACACACACACCCCAAGAATTTAATTGTTAGTGGCTGGGAATATTTGAAAACTGAACAGTACAGCTAAATCATTCTCTAGTTTCCTCGTATGTTATTTGACATTACTAACATCACCTACCTCACTGAGAAGTTATAAGCATTAAATAAGATGATACATATAAAGTACCAAGTACTGTGACTGGCAGGAAATAACTGCTCAGTAAATGACAGTGAGTCTTACCATATTGTGCCTTGCAGCAGTATTACAGAGTTTCCAGTTTTGATCTTAGGGAGAAAGAGAGTATATATATTCTTTTAGTGTTTTCAGAGAGTCCTTTGGAATCTAAGAGCAAGGTCTTTGTGGACGATTTTATGCCTGATACTGTTACTGATGTCCTCACTACTGCCTGCCCTTAAAGGGCTCCTCTCAGAGCAGGTAAGAATCTCAGCGCAACTCCATAATGGGATTCCGACGACCTCCCAAATGATCCAGAGAGCACCAAGCCTCATGCATGACTGCCGCCTGCCCCCATTTCTGTTACCCTAGAACACTTCCTATGTGGTTCTGAGAACATGGCATTCATATATGCTCTCCCGAACACAATCTACTGGGTAGGGGCCAGCTGTCTTTCATACTTCTTCTACCCTAGGTTTCTAAATATACTTGAATATTGGCTTTGTTAGATATGTGTTGCCTCCACCATCTTCCTTTACTCCTCATTCTCGTAAACCCAGGTGATGAATGATCTCACAAAGAAGACAGTTCCATCAAGTCTGTGCCTCTTAATTAAGACCTAGAATCTGAGACAGAAAAAATGGGAGCAATGCAAGAAGAGGGGCCTATGTCACCTTGATGTCAAGAGAAGCTGGGATTCTGTGTAATGGAAATTGGGGCCAAAATAAGGTTCTTTGCTTAATACTAATATTAATACAAAATGTTGTCTTAGTTCAGGATTCTTACTAATTGTTCAGTGGGCAGACACTATGAAACTTATTCACCAGTGTGAGAGAAGCCGTGATCTCTGCTCTTCAGAAATCCCAGAGAAGATACCTCCAGGTAATGTGGCTTAAGCTACTTTAAACAAAGGCTTTTGAAATATGTAAATAAATAGCAGAAAGGAGATTACTGCAATCATCAATATGGATAAAAATAGAACCAAGATACTCTGAAATTTCTACTGCACCAGGAGGAACAATTCCCAGAATAGCTTCATGATCAGATTTGATGAAATGTGAAAATCCTCATCCAATGAAGTCCAAGGTAGCCTGAGACCTAAAGCAAGAGTCTCAATCTGTAGGGTCAATGTTTGAGCTGCATATTAGCATATAGAAGTATACATAGCAACTTTGTCTCTATATGTACCCCATCAATTACTATCTTTCTATGTACCTAACTGATTTTATAACAAAGTCTTAACAATTCTCGAGTATCTTAGGTCTGAATGGAAGTTTGAGATAAAGTAAAGAAGAAAAGCAGGAGAAAATAAGTTAAATCTACATTTATAAGAACTCATCTTACAGTATGTGATTCATTTCAATAGTAAAACTCATCTGAGTTTTTGCCCCAATTTATCACTTTCCACGTGCTGTGTACAGGTGCTACGTTTGCAAGATACCACTCAAAGAACAGATACAGTGTTAAGAAGGAGTGGTCTTTTTCTATTTAGGGACCAAACTAGTTGAAGTGCAGGGAATGGAAATGAATATGGGTAGAAACTTAGGTTGATTTATGCCTCAGAGGATGGGATTCCTCTTCAGCTTTTAGGTTCCCTTGATGTGTACAAAACCAACAGGAAGAGACCAATGAAAGGTTCTTCATAAGCATGCATGCATTTCCTTAGAGTTTTTTATTTAGCCTCCTGAGACGAGCCCATGTCTTCCTGGAACCAATATTTGTACCTTAGAGGAAATAACTGACTTACCCTTTTCTCTCACCAGTGACTGAGAGACACTCACAACTGCTTGCTTTCAATTCAGAATTTTCCATAATCTATAATGGTGCTCACTTGTTGGCGCTCTCCAACTCAGCATTACTCACTCATTCACTGTCTATGGTGGTTTTAATCATCCAAATTCCCCAGCTTTTTCTGTTGTTTACAGTTTCAGGGTGGCTTTTCCCCAGAGATCTACCTATCTAACATAACATTTAAATCTTTACTTCATCTAAAATTAATTTTACTTTATATGTGACACAAGGATGTTTTTATTTTCTACATAATTTGGGATTATAGCTGTAATTACGTCATTAACTGAAATTTATTTTTAAGGAATTTGGTTTAAGTTCCCAATTATTTTTGTATTCTCTTTTATACTTTGTATATTAACCTCTAGTTTTATTACATTATCATCAAAGAAAATGAGTGGCAAAATTTTTATTTCAAAATGTAATCACTTTAGTCTCATGTATTATTTTTATGATTAGCTTCCTCTGTTTGTTTCTTTTCTTTAAGAATATGTTTTTAATTACTTTTTTTCCAAGAGGGTTTTGCACTCCTATAAAATCTCTTACATAAATAAGTGTCAGACAGTCCACCACATTCATATCTCCTATCTACTATAATTGAGTCTTTTATGTGTCTAGTATGACACAGGGTCAAGACTAATTTTTTTATTCTGAATACTCAGATACCTGAACATAATTTATTGAAGAAGGCAATCTTGCTTTATTGCTCGGCAGTATTATCTTCGTCATACAAATATGTATCAGTCTATTTCTGTATGCTGTATTGAGTTACAATTTTCTATTTGTCTAACCCCGTACAAATATGAAACTCCTGAGTTACCGTAGCTTTGTCACAAGTTTTGATAACTAGTGTTGTCAATCTTTCAGTTAAGTGTTATGTCTTCAAGATAGTATTGACCATTTTGGGACTTATTCAATCCACACTTTAGGATCCACATGTCCATTGCTGTAAAATCAAATGCTGGGATTTTACTTGGAATAGAATTGAACGTATAGATCTATTTGAATAGAATTGGAATTTTAAAAATATGAGTCTCCATGTGCCCATTGTAATCTTAAATTCGTTCAGGAAATGTTATATTTATCTGAAAATATTTTATTTCTATTGTCGTGGTCTTACACATGTTACTTAAAATTAAATTCAGCTCTGGGTTTCTCATCCTTAGCACTATCAACATTTTGGCCATGATAGGCTTTGTTGTGAGGGTCTCTCCTGTGTATTGTGGAATGTTTAACTCCCCTGACCTCTAGTCACTAGATACCAGCGCCTGTGACAAGCAAGAATATTTCCAGACATTGCCAAATGAACTGGAGGACAAAACAGCCCCAAGTGATCTAGATATTTAAGAGATTTAATGTTTTATATTGAATCTTAACAAACATAAAAAAATGGGTGCTTGTGATAAGTGCGTAAACTATTGTAAATGTAGCTGTAGATCATACATTATCATTGCTGGATGATAATCTATTCTGTGAACACACAATTTCTATTTGATTCATTGATAATATTTAAATATTAATAGCTTGCTATTTTTGCCCATTAAAAATAGTGTTTCTAGAAATGTTTTCAGATACATACATGTAAATAGACAGATACATATGCGTACATAAATATGTGAAAACCTGTATGTTAAATATGCTAAATGTTACATACTTTCTTTTATATACACGTTTGGATTTGTATATACAAATACAAATATACAAATACATTAAAACCAAAAAGAAATTTGAACAGCTACAGCCACAATTAGAAAAATGACTTCAAATATTTGTTGCTATTTTTGAACAATGTCTCCATAATGGTAAATTGTTAAGTTTGTGTGCACAAGAAATCAAACAAAACACAACAGCTTTTTATCAAGTTGTAAACATGAATGACTCAACCATCTATCCTGGAGATTTGATTAAAATATTTTTTTAAATTAATATGAACCTATTAATGAGAAATGAATCAATAAATCAGAATATAAGCATATTCCTCATAAATACAAGTCTAGCTGTGATGTTAAAACTCTCTTAGAAAATTTGTGGAAGAATTATAACTGTGCAGGTGTTTTGGAATAATGTTTAACACTGAGAACTATACATATAATCAGTTTCACAGGAATAACTAAATTATATTACTATTTTAAAACAAACTAGTTTATCTACTTCCTAGTATCTATTCTTCCTGAGAATATGCTACTTTGTCTCTCAGTTTCAACACAGCTTTCTTCACTTCCTTGTTTCTCAGGGTGTACACTACAGGGTTGAGAAGTGGTGTTAGCACAGTGTAGAAAACGGCCACAACTCCATCCATGATGTCCCTGGAACCTGGTCTCAGGTAAATGACAACACAGGGAACAAAAAAGCAAAGGACCACGATACAGTGGGAGGCACAGGTCTGAAAGGCTCTGCGTCTCCCCTCTGAGGTGTGGATCCGCAGGATGGAACAGACAATGGACACGTAGGACAGCACTGTCAGGAGGAAGCAGCCCGAGGCCACTACCCCAATGTTCACAAAGATGACCATCTCGTTGACTGAGGTGTCTGCACAGGCCAGTTTCAGGATGGGTGGTGCGTCACAGAAGTAGTGCTGGATCCGGTTAGGTCCACAGTAGGGCAAATGGAAAGTCAATATGGTCTGGACAGCAGAGTGCAGAGAGCCACTGAGCCAAGTGCCGATGGCCAGGAGGGCACACCTGCTCCCATTCATCATGCGGGTGTACCTGAGCGGGTAACTGATGGCCAGGTAGCGATCATAGGACATGACCGTGTAGAGGAAACACTCGGTGCTCCCCAGGAAGTGGAAAAAGTAGAGTTGAGTCACGCAGCTGTGGAAGGAGATAGTCCTCCCGCTTGGAGACACCAAGGTCATCAGCATTTTGGGCACCGTGACAGTGGAGAACCA